TCTCCTATTATGACTGTGCAGTCATCTATTTGCCTTTTCAATTCTGTTGAAGTCTGATTTATGTATTTTGGGGCTCTTTTCTTGGTTGCATAGATATTTATTATGGTTATGGCGTCTTGTTCAGTTGATCCTTTAATCATTATATAATGTCCTTCCTTGTGTCTTCTGGTGTTTTTTGGCTTAAAGTCAATTTTATCAGAACTTAATATTGCCACTCCTGCTCTTTTATGGTTGCCATTTGCTTGATACATCTTTTTCCAACCTTTGCTTTTTAGTCTAACTGTGTCTTTGTCTCTAAGGTGTGTCTCTTGTACACAGCATATTGATGGGTTATGCTTTCTTATCCAGTCTGCAACTCTCTGTCTCTTGAGTGGTGCATTTAATCCATTGACATTCAGTGTAATTATCAACAAATATGAATTTGTTGCTCTCATTTTGTTATGTGTTTTCACGTGGTGTTGCTGATTTCCTTGTTCCATATAATTTTCTGTGCCAAGCTCATTTTGTTTATGGATCGTGTTATTACTTCCTTCATTCCTGTTGTTGTAGTATTTGCTAAATATTTGTGCTGGTCCTCTTGTTTATTTTGATGTGAAGGTGGATCACTTTTTTTTTTTTTGGCAGTTTCCCTGTGATTTATAATTTTCTTACCAAATTTAGAACAGTCTGTCTTGCAGGTGTCTTGACATCCCTACCCTTTAGAGATTCTGACCCTACACAGTTTTTTCCTTCTGCTTGGTTTGTAGTTGTCCTCATTTGTCAATTGAAGTCTCTGGTTCCTGTTTACAGTCTTGTAGCCTTATTTACTTTGGATAGTTTCATAACTGATTTGGTTTCTAGGTTATGTCATCATGTGTGTTAATGATCAGTTGTTATTTGCTCTTGTTGGTTCTCTGTTCAAAGGACTCCCTTTAGCATCTCTTGTAAGGTTGATCTGGTTTGAACAAATTCCCTTAATTTCATCTTATATGGAAATGGCTTAGTGTCTAAAGCATTGGACTGCTAACTAGAAGGCTGGCGGTTCAAACCCACCAGCCACTCCTTGGAGGGAAGATTGGGCAATCTACTTTCGTAGAGATACTGCCTTGGAAACCCAAGAAGGGGTCACTATGAGTTGAATCAACTTGATGCCAGTGAGTTTTTTTTTTGGTTTTGGAAGTGTCCTAATTTCATCATAATATTTGAGGGACAGTTTTGCTGCGTATATAATTCTTGGTTAGACATTCTTTTCTTTCAGCATTTTATATAAACCATCCCATTGTCTTCTCACTTGTATGGTTTCTGCCAAGAAATCCAATCTCAGTCTTATTGATTGCCCCTTGGAGGTTATTTTTCAACTTTCCCATGCTCCTTTCAGGATTCTTTCTTTGTCTTTGGGTTTGGTGAGTTTAATGATGATATGTCTTGGTGATTTTCTTTTGGCGTCTATCCTGTTTGGGGTTGGTTGGACTTCTTGAATGGATATATTCTCATTTCATCATACCAGGGAAATTCTCTTCCAAAAAATCTTGGACAATTTTCTCTGTGGTTTCATTTGGCTCTACTAGTTCTCAATTCCCGTTACTTGTAGTTTATTCCTTTTGATGATGGTATCCCTCATGAACCTTAAGCTTTCTTCATTTTGGTCTGATCTTTTTTCTGATTGACCTTTTTCCAAAGAAGTACTGAGGTATTTGTCTTCAATCTCACTATTAAGAAATTTGTCTTCAATCTTGCTAATTCTGTCTTCCATTGATTCAGTTCTACTCCTTTGTCTTTCTGTGATCTATTTCTAAAACTTTAGTATTAATCTTCTAGATTTCTATTTGTATTATCTATTTCTTAAATTTTAGTATTAATCTTCTAGATTTCTATTTGCTGTTATAGATTTCTATTTTGCTATTTTCCATTTATTTTGTCACTTTTTTCTTTTTTAAAAAATTTTTCTAGAGTTTTGTTTGTGTTTTCCTTGATCTCTCTCTTAATCTGTTGAAGGGTCCTAAGCATAATTATTTTGAATTCATTATCAAGTAGTTCCCATACCATTTCTTCCTTAGGAAGGTTTTCTCTATATATATTTTGGTCACTTCATTGAACCACCTTGTCTTGTTTATTCATTTGAATTGAGGTTCTGTTGTCGCCAATACTTTATGTATTATTGTATTTGTATTTAATTTATGATTGTATATTGATGTGTTTCATCCAGGATTTTTGCTTTATTTTTTTTTGATATATCCAGGCTGAGAGGGTGGATGTGTTAGTCTGCTGGCTTCTGTGGCAGCACTTAGGTGCTCACCACCTGTCTCCTGGTGTGCTGGAAGGTGAGATGCGTGCGTAGTTCTCTGTTTGCTGTTCATCTATAGCAGTTGAGGGCAGGTTGGGCTGCTTGCAGTAATTCAAGATAGTTGTGCTGTGCCAGGCCACTTGACTATTCACCACTCCATATGTCTCCTTGTCACTCTTTTCCTTCAGTTTTTTCTAATTGATACTTGATCTTCTTCTTTATCCTTTCCTTTGAAGGTCATTACCATCTGTATTTGTTTTACTTAGTTTTCTCAGGTATTTTGTTTTAGAGAATGTGCTAGTTAAAGTTGTATGTCAACTTGGTTGGGCCTGGTTGAGTGGCTGGGCAGCTGGTGGTAGTTATTTCCCATGATGAAATGGGTATTATTTCCCATCTTCATGGTGGGATCTACCACAGGCAGCTGAGTAGCTGCTTTAGGGGTGTTGACTGCTTCCTGTATATAAGAAACAGCTTAGGGAATGGTCTCTAGCCTATGGCATGTTTGGACCCTTGCATGTAGCCGTGTTGTTTTTCAGCAGCCTGCTATGCTCTGCCGACCTTGGGACTTACAATGGATTTAAGTTAATGGCCTGCCATGTGGTTTGGTAATATTGGGACTGTGCCTTTTTACTTGTCAGTCTTGGGGCTTCTCAGCCTCAGCAGCCAGCAGCTGTCTGAGTGAAGAAATGCTTCTAGCTCCAGTGGGCCAGGAGCAGGAAGCAAAGGTGGACCCCAAAGTTGAGAGGCTTTCACCCAGCCCCTAGAGCCTGGCACTTTGAACTTGGACTTAAAGCCTCCAAATTGTAAGAATAAACTCCTGTTTGTTAAGGCCATCCCATTTGTGGTATATTCTTGTCAGAGTGGCACTAGGTAACTAGGACAGAGAGTCTGGACAGCATGTTGGCCTAGTCTACCGTCTTGCCTTTTCTCCCATCTTGCCTTTTCTCCCAAATTCAGTTTATTTTTGAATCCTAATCTTGTGTCCTGTGGCCAGAAAATACTGAATTAGTTGTCTGCAGGGGTCCTGGAGGGCATGGGATCTAAGCAGGCAGGGAAAGTCACCTTCCTGGTTTGCTTGGGGCTGAGTGGTTCCCTGGGACATGGGATTGTCACTGCTAGGACTAGGAAAGTTCTAGATAAATGAGGACATGGTGGTCATTTTGCCTAGAGACTTAGTGCTCTACCTCTTCCGGCAAGAGGGAAACAAAAAAACTCCCCCTTTTATTCCTATCATCCTAAAACAATTGGCATTAGTATCTTGGTATATTTCTCTGTCATTTTTCTTTGTACATCTTTTTAAACATTTGATATTGGTGTGTATATTATGTCCTGCCCATTCCTTGGAACATAGAGTAAGTGTTTTTCTCATCCTCGATACTCCCTCATGTTCAGTGGCCACCATCAGAGCAGGGCTTATACTGAGTGGGCTGATAGACAAATGGGATCCCAGACTGATGGAGTTTCTAAACAGAGCAGTAACTTCTCTGGGAGAGAGCTGTCTGTGAGTCTGGAAGGAATATTGCATTCTTTGCTTGCAAAGAGGTGGCCTGAGTAAGCACTGAGGGCTTGAGGATCCTGTCCCTCAGAGTTAGAGAATGGCTGGCTCAGGAACCGTGATAGACATGTGCCTTGTCTTCTTGGGGCTGGCATTCCAGTGGGGATGGTCACAGTGAGCCCATGAATAATCAGTAATTCTAGATGGTTATAAGTGGTGTGAAGAGGATGAAATGCAGTAGTGTAATGGAGTGTCTTGGTGTGGGGGGACAAAAGGCCCTTTGGAAATTAAGGCTGGGAAGGACTCTGAAGGAGCTGAAATGAGGCCCAAATGCTAGAAAGCTCCAGTCATGGGAGGATCTAGAGAAGAACATTCCAAGGATAATCCCAGAATATTCCTAGAGTAGGAATTAACATGGTATGCTTGTGGAACAGGACAAGGCTGATTGGTAAAGAGAGTGAGAGAGAGGCAGGCAATGAAGTCAGGTGCACAGAGGAGGGTCACATGCTGTCAGCCCTGTGAAATATGACACCCCTTCCTGCCTTGCCTGCCTCACCTCCCAGTCAGCACTGCCCTCTTTCCCATCCCACTAGATAACTACTTTTCACTCCTGGCATCTGCCTATGTAGCAGAGGGACTCCTTTCCTTACTGTGGATAGCTTCCTCCTCCTATATGGAATGCCTGCACGTATTCGCTGACATTCATGCTGACATCTCACCCCTGCCCCTTCCCCACCCATCAACTCGTGCTGACACCCCTGTGCACACTTACCTCTGAGGCACTGTTACTGTCTTGATCACCCACTAGCTGTTCTCTGTCAGTCTGCCCGAGGGTTCCTGAGGTTTCCTAAAAGACATGCCTTCATCTCTGTGTTCCCAGTACCTTGTATAAATAGGTTCTTAATGAAATGCATCTTGTTGCATGAACAAATACCAGAAAGGCCTCAAGAAGCAAGGATACTATTTAAGAAATATTTTTATGAAAGTGCAATTAAAAGATAAACAAAGAAACATAGTAATCAAGTTTTAAAACAATAAAATTTTCAAAAAGAAATCTTATGTGAGATTTAAAGTGAAATCATACAGGTTTTGTTCTGTTTTTTGGCCATTTTTCTAGTTTTAAAATCCCTGTGTTCCTTAGGCTCTTAGGTCAGTTGCTGATTTCTACAGATAAAAGAAACGTGTGAATCTTTGTTTTAGATTAAACTTGTTTTCTGGATATATTTACTCTATATGTTTCAGATGATACCTTTTTACATTTTGAATGCAACAAATTACTTTGGTCGTATAATTGATAAACATGTGGATCTTTATGAAACCCTTGATGCTGAAATGACTCAATATTTTAAGGATTCGAGTAATAAAACAGTTGTTGAAAAGGTAGAGAAATTTGGATTATATGGATTAGCAGAAAAAATGCTTTTTCACAGGTAAAATGTCCATTTATTTCTTCTCTACAATTTGTGACATTAAAGTAACTTTATTTTTTTTTTTAAGGGACTTCATACTTTTTAAAAAAAAAAAAAAAGAGAACCTTTTTATTGTGATTTGGGTGAAATTTTACAAAACATTCATTTTACATTCAACAGGTCATACATATTACATTTTCCCTGTGTCCTTCTTGCCTGTGCATTCCTGTCTGTCTGCCTTTCTCCTTGTGTAAATGCTGCCCTTCTGCTCTCCCATGGTTGATTGTTCTAAGGAGTGCATCTCACTGGTGTAGTAGTTGCCTCATAGGCCTATCTGCTATTTACCTGAGAGTTAAGCCATGGGAGTGAGTTCAATTCCAGGCCCGAAGAGTTACTCAGGGCCATAGTTCAGGGCTTTCCCCACTCTCTATCCAACCAGTAATCCTAATTTTTTTTTTTTTATGTTTTTGAATTTTCTTCCACATTTTTCTCCTACTCTATGTAAAAAACAAAACAAAACAAAACAAAAAACTCACTGCCATAGAGTTGGATCCAACTCATAGCTACCCCTCCTTGGGTTTTCAAGGCAGTATCACTAAGGAGGTAGATCGCCCAATCTTCCTTCTGAAGAGTGGCTGGTGGGTTTGAACCACCAGCCTTCTGGTTAGCAGTCAAATGCCTTAGACACTATGCTACCAGAGCTCCTCTACTCTATTTGTTGTTGTTGTTATATGCCATTGAGTCAGACCTGACTCATAGCGACCCCTCCTTGGGTTTCTGAGGCAGTATCACTATGGAAGTAGATTGCCTCATCTTCCTTCCGAAGAGTGGCTGGTGGGTTTGAACTGCCAGCCTTCTGGTTAGCAGTCAAGTGCCTTAAACACTACGCTACCAGAGCTCCCCTACTCTATTTAGGATGTCCAATTTTGATCCTGTTCCAAGTGATTGGTTTGGTAGCTGGGCACCACTTAGTTCTTCTGGTTTCAGGGTCGTATAGGCTGAAATTCTCGTGGTCTCTTAGTTCTTTGGACTATTTCCATGCATATTTGATTTTCTTCACTCTTTATGTTCTGCACAAGGAGAGATCAATTGTTGCATCTTAGATGGCCACTCACAAGCTTTTAAGACCCCAGTTGCTACTCACTGAAGTAAGAGGTAGAACAATAATTTTGTGTGTACTGTGTTGTGCAGTTGAGTTTGATGTCCCCTGAAACCATGGTCCCAAGCCCATAGACACAATGATTCACTACCTCAGGGTGCTTAGTTGTGCCTAAGAAGTTATCCTAACTTTGTCTCCTGTTAGCTCTATAATATATGTGCATAGTTTTATAGCACATACAAATATGTGTGTATGTAGGAATATCATCTGTCATACCTGTATATGGTCTTGGGTATATTCTTGTTCACCTGTCCATACATGATCTTCTTGCCTGTCTGCCTATGTATCCACTTGTAGATTAGTGTTTGCTATTACTGATAGTGCAGTATTGTGTATACAATAGTTGTTGTTGTTGTTGTTGTTATGTGCCGTCAAGTCAGCCCTGACTCATAGCGACCCCTCCTTGGGTTTCCGAGGCAGTATCACTACGGAAGTAGGATTGCCCAACCTTCCTTCCGAGGAGTAGCTGGTGGGTTTGAACCGCCAGCCTTCTGGTGAGCAGGCAAGTGTCTTAGCCACTATGCTACCAGAGCTCCATCTTTATTTTCTGTACCTCTTGTGCATCTCTGTCTTCTTTTTATTTAGTGACATTGTGCTGAACACGTACTTTTGGTATATTGCCTTTCCCTTCACCATAATCTACACCTGTCTCTTAACTATCCATCACTTTTCCCTCCACCCCTTCCCCCTCCCGTCCCTGGTAAACAGCAGAATTTCTGAACTTTAAATGATGTTGAATACCTGTATTTTTAGCTCTGTCCTTTTGACTTGACTGTGCACGTAAGAAGCCTGGTTGTCCCCTAGCCACCTGGTACAGTTCTACCTACAAGACTTGGCCCAGGGCTCCTGAGCACAGAGCACTGATGACATTATAATGGCTGACATACTGAGCAGCCACTGTGTGCTACATACACAGACATCTTCATCTCATTTAATTCTTACAGAAATCCTATAAAATGGACATCATCCCCATTTTACAGATCAGCACATTAAGCCTTGGAGAGCTTATGTCAATTGGCTAAGGGCAGGTCAGTAATTAGTGTAGTCGGTGTTCAGACCCAGGCAGCTGTAACTCATGTGCCTGTTTGCAGCCACTTCCCTTGAATGCCATACCTGGCTGTGCTTGCTTACAGCCTTGACTGAGAAACCTTAGAAAATTTGATTTGCTCCGTTAATTTTTGTTGTGTCTTCAATAAAGAGATTTACTCTTTTAAAAGGTATTGCACATTTTTTCTACTTACATACACTTTATTTGAGGGAATCCTGGAGGCTCCCTGGGAGAAAAGACCTGGTGATCTGCTCCCGTAAAGATTACAGCCTAGAAAACCCTGTGGGGTGGGTCTCCTTTGTCAGTTGGGGTTTCTGTGAATCAGAGTCTACCTGACAGTACCTGGCAGTAATACTTTAATAATCGACTGCAAAGTTGTTCTTGAAGGCCTTGGTTATTTTATTTATAGTATAGAGTGAATTTCTGTGATGTGGAATCTTTTTGTATGTTTTGTATATAATTGGTAAGTTGAGGCAAAGATTATTTTCCTTTCTGGAGTCTCTGTGATAAACTAATGCAAGAATTGTTCTATAGAGTTCAAGTGTTGGAGATGAGCCAGAAAGAAGACAGCTCGGCCTTGGATAATGTCCTTGTAAAGTTCATAGATGAAGGTAGGACTAAACTTGTCACAAGAAACCAACTACTACATCTCCCAGAAAGTTTCCACACTCTTCCCCCACAGGCGGTGGAATTTATTGTTTGTAGAGTGAAACCTGCTGACAACGAAATAGAATGGAATCCAAAGGTGAGTTACTTTGCTTTTTTGTTTTGTTGATATTTACAATAAATTGAACTAAGAATTGAGGCTTATTTGAATTTAGAATATTGAATTTGGGCATAGTGCATGCCAATCAGTCATTGCTTCATGTTCTTGGGTATTTAAAGCTGCAGTCTGCTTCAGTACCTGCTAATGCAGGAATTTAGTAGCAGCTGCTGTTGACAGAACCCATCCCTGAATGCTCAAGGAGGATCATGTACTCTTGTCACTGTCACCATCATTATTAGTACTCACAGATTTAGAATTGGTATAAAATGTGGTTCATGATCAAATAAAAGTGGCTATGAGGTTAAGGAGAAGAGATAGTGTAAGCACCTACGAAAACAAATACCCTAGTCAAGGGGGGAAGCATAAGTGATGGGTCCTCTGGAGAGGCCAGGTAGTTCTTTTGGGGTCAGGATGTTGGACAAGAAAGGAGAGAGAGAGAGGCTAGAAAGCTTTCAGAGGAAGGGACATGTCTTATGGGTCCTGTGGGTACTAGGATATCACCAAGTAGTACAGAAGACACCGAAGACAAAGAAGATGGCCTGTACCTAGACAGGACACACAAAGGAGTGGTCCTGTTCTGGCTCACATGGCTGTCCCAGGTGGGAGTAGAGAGGCTCACCCCTTGCTGGCCCATTTGAGGCCAGACAGATAGGTTTGCTCTTCACTGGAGCAGGGAGGTGTTTTCATGGTGATTCCAGATTCTTCAAGAGAAGGTTACCTTTTGTATAATATGATTAATGGGATATGAAATAAGCAATTTTAGTTGGCAAAATAAAAATTGTGTGGTTCAAAACAAGGAAATAAACAGGTAAATGTCTCTACAATATAGGTGTGGTGCAGTGAATTACTTAATATAACTCTTCTAGCCATGGTCCTTGTGACTCCCACCAGATGACTGATGGAACCATGGAAACGTGAGTTGCTTGTGGTCCACCAAGGAGATAGTTTGTTAATAATGTAAATAAGGTACATGGCACCCTTGTATGGTTAGGACCCTGCAAATGTGGTGTGTGATACCCTAACGTGGGGATTGGTCACTATTGATCTCACTACCATCAAGAGAGACAAAGCAGGAGTTGGGCATGTCCTTGGACCCAAGATCCTTGCTCTAAGACAGCAGTGAGATGGTAGACAGAAAGCAGCAACAGAGGGAACAAAACCCCAATAGCTCAGCACGAGATACAGTGGTAGGCTTCCTGGCTCACAGAGCAAGGAAGTTGAGTATCTTTGGTCTGGAGGCTTGCTGGCAGAGTGGGGTGCCTCTCTGGGCATCTATCAGCAAAGCTAAAAGAGCTTTTTTGTAACACTGGCCTGAGCAGGGCAGAGGCTGAGACCAGAGAGAAGTGTGCCTGTAGCACAGCTGGGAAGAAGCTGTCTTGATTGAAGAAGTATATACTGATTTGTTTTCTGATCCTGAACTGTAACTTACTAACTTCTCTAATATACCCCCATAATCATGAGTATTGTCTGTGAGTTCTGTGTGGCCATTACAGTGAATTACTGAACCCAGCAGAGAAGTAGAGAGTTGGTTATCAGAATTGGTAAAAAGAACTGATTGGTGTCAGAATTGGTAAGAAGTTTAGAGGGTGGCAGCATTCCACCTCATTGGAATCAGCCCTGAGCTGTTGTTCTGGATCCTCCTTCCCCTTGTAAAATGAGAAGAAGTCAGATGTTGTTGCCATGCCTTTTTGCAGGAGAATAGGAACAACCCTTACTGTTGTGAGTTTAGTGGAAGTGGCCTTTATTAAATAACATACTTTTTCTTTCATGCAAGAAATAATTACTGAGGGTTCACTGTGTGCCAGGTGCTGTTCTGGGTTCTGAGATGTAGCCATTAGCTAGATGGTCATAACAATTGTCCTCAAGAACCTTTGTGAAGGTGATTGAGTCCAGTATTTCTTGAAGAGCAGCCATCTTTAGAAATGGGGAAATTTCTCCTGTGCATGTTCTTCCAAATTTATTTATGAAGTTCAGACTATTCCATAGTTTAATTGTGATGGCCCAGCTCCCTCCTGTTCTGCTTTACTGGAAGTAAAACATGCACGAAGGATTGTTCAAAAAGGGCACATATGTCTTGGCCCTACTTGAAAACAGCCGTGTTCTCAGGAAAGAGAAGATTAGGGCAACTGAGTCCCAATGTCTCTGGGTACAAAATGGCTCCACCACTGTAACTTCTTCCTCGGGGCAGCAGGGGCAGCTTTCACTCACTCACATTCAGCTTTCAAAGAAACGAACAGCCATACATTACAGATAAGGTGATGCGTTAGAGAGAAGAAGGGGTATACTTGTCCACAGTTGGAAACATTCAGTATTAAGAGTGCAAGGACAGAACCATCCCCTCTTCTTGGAACTCACTAGTGTAAGACCTTGGGCAAATTCACACACCTTTCTGTATCTGTTATTAAATAAACTCTGTGTTAACCACCATCATGGAGACAGGAATGATGACTTTCTGTAACTTACACAGTTGTCAAGCTCAAGTGAAATGCCTGGAAAAGTATTTTTTCACAGAACTTCATGCAACATATACAAAATAAGATATTTTGTTAAAGCCTCAGATCAATAACTTCAGCTTTTTTTGTAGGTTACTAGGTACATTCATCATAAAATTATTAGAAAACTGCATGATGCAAAAGTGATACTGGCTTTGGGAAATACTGTTTGGATTGATCCAATGGTAAGTAGGCTATTTTCCTAAAAAGAAATCTGTGTTTGAGTGAGCCTCTAAAATTATTCAAATTATTTTAAATACAGTAGAGCTTACAGTTTGAATTACTATTTGCCTCACATAAAGGGAGGCTTATTTGGGGTTCCTATGAGTTGGGGCCACTCGACAACACATAACAACAACAACAACATTTGGGGCTCTGTGTTAAGGACAGAATTGTTCTGTTTTCATGTCATTTGAGTCATGAATTAGGTTGCAGTTTTAGTTTTTGTTTTTTTAAGGGAACATTTTACATGGTAACTCAGCACACTATACACTGATATGCATACAACTGAAACAAAAGTTTCATGAAGTTTTGCTTACTGTATGTGACATTCTCTAATATTTCCTATTCCATTCTATTTTACTTTTTTTTAAGGGTTGATCACAAACCATTAAAGAGACTTTACAGTCCATACTGTGTCAGAAGCCCAGGGTCAGTGCCCAGAGCAGAATAGCTTCCGTCTTTCCTAGTTTGTGAACAATCTTTTCTTAGAACTTGATGAATAATGTCAAGGATTCCAGTCCTTAAGCATTCAAAGACAGGTTTTATCCTGTTGACAGTTTCTACTCTTGTTTATGCAGCAAATATTTATTAAGTACTTACTATGTGCTGTGACCTGTACTGGGCACTTAGATTCCTTCAGTGAACAAAAAAGAGTAAGACTACTGCCCTATGGAGCTGACTTGGGAGTAATGAGTGTGATTAATTAGTGAGCCTGAGCACTTCTCCACTAGCATCATTACCATCTTCTCTCTGCCTGTGCCCCAATTCAAAGTTTGCTCCATTAGACTTAAATTTTATTTATTATGATTATTTAAAGGAATTTAGTTCATAAAAACTTTTCTTTTATTGAAGGTATTTTATAATGTTAGAAATACTTTAAAAAGGGGAGTTTGGGTATAAGAGTTTGCTGTCAAGTCAGTTCCAACTCATGGTAACCTTATGTACAACAGAACAAAAGAAACACTGCCCAGCCTCGCACCATCCTCACAGTCATTGCCATGCTGGAGCCTATCGTCACAGCCACAGTATCCATCCATCTTGCTGAGAAAACAAAAAACTCATTGCCATCAAGTTGGATCCGACTCATAGTGACCCCTCTTTGGGTTTCCGAGGCAGTATCACTGCGGAAGTAGGTTGCCCAACCTTACTTCTAAATCTTACTGAGGGTCATCCTTTTTTCACTGATCCTGTACTTAACCAAGTATGATACCCTTCTCCAGGGGCTTGCCCTATCTGGCAACATGACCAAAGTACAAGAGACTCATTCTGGCAATTTGCACTTCTAAGGAGCATTCTGGCTGGACTTCCTCAGAGACAGGTTGGTTTGTTCTTCTGGCAATCCATGGTACACTCGGTATTCGCCAGCACCACAATTCAGATGCAGCAGTTCTGCAGTCTTCCTTGTTCACACTATTCAGTGCTCATGGTATGAGGCAGTTGAAATTACCATGGCTTGGGTCAGGCACACCTTAGTCTTCAAAGTGACATCTTTCCTCTTTAACACTTGAAAAAGGTCTGTTGCAGCAGATTTGCCCAGTGCAGTACAGCTTTTGATTTCTTGGCTGCTGCTTCCATGGGTGTGGAATATAGATCCAAGTAAAATGAAATCCTTGACAACTTCAATTTTTTCTTATCATGATTTTTTTTCTTTATGTTGAGGTGTGATCTATACCAAAGGCTATATAGTTTTTGATCTTCATTAGTAAGTGCTTCAAGTCCTCTTCGCTTACAGCAAAATTAGCTGTGTCATCTGCATATCACAGGTTGTTAATGAGTCTTAGTCCAATCCTCATGCTGCATTCTTTTTCATATGGTCCAGCTTCTCAGGTAATTTGCTACCATACAGATTGAATAAGTATGATGAAAGGATACAACCCTGACGCACTCCCTTCTTGATTTTAAACCATGCATTATTCTCTTGTTCTGTTCAAACTGTTGCCTCTTAGTCTGTACAGGTTCCTCATGAGCCCAATAAAGTGTTCTAGAATTCCCAACCTTCACAATGTTACCCATAATTTGTTATACTCCACAGAGTCCAATGCCTTTATATAGTCAATAAAACATGGGTAAAAATCTTTCTGGTATTCTTTATTTTCAGCCAAGATCCATCTGACGTTAGTAATGATATACCTTGTTCCACACCCTCTTCTGAATCTAGCTTGAATTTCTGGTAGTTCCTTGTCAGTATAGTCCTGCAATTTTTTTTTTTTTTTTTTTTATTATCTTCAGCAAAATTTTACTTGGATGTGATATTAATGATAAAAACAACGAACCCAACACACTGCCATCAAGTCAGATATGACTTAGAGCAACTTCTCCTTGGGTTTCCAAGGCAGTATCACTATGGAAGTAGATTGCCCAACCTTCCTTCTGAGGAGTGACTGGTCGGTTTGAACCACCAGCCTTCTGGTTAGCAGTCAAATGCCTTAGGCACTAACCACCAGAGCTCCAGATATTAAAGATATTGTTTGATAATTACCATATTTTGTTGGATCACCTTTCTTTGGAATGGGCACAAATATGGATCTCTTCCAATCTGTTCACCAGGTAGATGTCTTCCAAACTTCTTGGCATAAACAAAAGCGCACCTCCAGAGCTGCATCCACTTGTTGAAACATCTCAGTGGGTATTCCATCACTTCCTGGAACCTTGTTTTTCACCAAATCCTACAGTGCAGCTTGGACTTCTTCCTTCGTATCATCAGTTCTTGATCATATACTGTCTCCTGAAATAATTGAGTGTCTACCATTTTTTGGTACAGTGACTGTATATTCCTTCCATCTTCTTTT